CTCTATAATTCAAATCTTTCTTGATTGGCACTGTCCAAAATGGGAGCCCCTAGTCACATCTGGCTTTTAGATTAATATTAAAATTAAATTAAACTTGCAGTTTTTTATTCAAACCAATCACCTTTCAAGTGCCCAATAGCCACACATGGCCCATGGCTACTATTGGTGGATGACGCTGATGTTTCTACCGGCTCAGAAAGCTCTGAGATAGATCTGCTCTAAAGCACAGTTCAAAGCTTGCTTTCCAGGCTCTTCTCTTCATGGTCTCCTCAGGCAAGTGAGCCACCAATAAGTTAAATATTTATTGTTTTCTGCACATATTCTGAGCTTCACTGACTTGGGGGTTTTGCTATTACCAAAGCTCAAGTGTTCTTTTGAAATCCTATTGTCATAGAAAATGAATATGTCTAGAATAAAGGATTGTTTCCTTTTCTCTTAAGAAGCCTTTTTAAATCTTCCCAGTGAGAGCTTTGACTCCCCTGGAATCTGAGAGCACACTTTGTGCCTCAGCTGTGCTTCACTCAGAGCTCTGCTTCAGCGACAAGAATTACATGCAATGAATATGCAGCCATTTAAACACAGCCTATGTGAGCAGATAAGCCTTAAAAAATTGTCAGTTGCTGAGTTCAAAATGTAAGTCCTCTGAGGACTTTGTTTGTTTGTTTGTTTAGCTCTAGTAGCAGGTTATGCTATTTTTTTGAGGTCAGGGGAGACATGAAATCTTTATATTTCATGACTTCTGGTTTTTCTTCTTTGTTCATGTGTTTTATTTTACTTATTTATTTTCTTAAGTTTTGAGGACAAAGAGAAAATAAAAGAATAAAAATAGAAGAAGGACATATTTGGTGACAAAATATGAAGGTGAAAAGAATGAAATATAGTTACATCAAACATATATGAAAAAATGATGAGGTTGCTGCACATTGTAGAATAAAGTCCTATCATTAAATTCTTTTTCTGCCAATTTGCTTTCTGGATGTACGTGAGTTAATTATTATCACTAAACCTGTTATTTGTTTTTGTTTTATCTATAGAATAAAAATAGTAATGCTCACCACATAGGTTGTTGTAAATATCCCTTGGGGTAATATGTGTAAAAGTGCCTCTTTAAAAAAATGAAATGTCTCCTACAAATGTGAGTGGTTGTTTACAGCAAGCTTCCAGAAAAGGAGGGTGTGGAATGGGGAGAAACACATGTTCTCCTGTCCCCTCACAAATCCACTTTCTTCTGACAAAGCCCTGCCAACTGATAAAGTTCCAGTAGGATCTTTGTGAGTTATCCACAGGGTTCTCTTTTTATCTCACAGAAAGATTTATATATCTATAAGTATCTATAATATTTTTTATTCCACCCTCCTTGGGATGTAGTTATGACTGTTGAATATTTACTTTTCAGACATTCCTTCTCCCTTTGAAGAAATGCACAAAAGAAAAAGCAAAATACTGACAAGTTTTCAAAGCCATGATTTACAGGAGTGAATTCTGGAAAGCAAGTGGCCAACATCCGAGTTCATCATCAAATAATATTTCTAAAGCACCCTCTAGTGTCTGGCCCCAAGCCAGATGATTCAACGCCTGAGGAAGCTACAGACTTTTTAAAAGTAAAATGGACTCATGTCCTCTCTTGAGAAGCAAGTCAGCATCATTTAGGATGCCTTAGGAATGTCTCTCTAAATAAAGATTAAAAATGTATTGCTTTAGAAAAATTAATACAAGTACAAACACTAATAATATTGAATGCAATTTAAATTCCATTTAAAAGCAGATAATAGGGTTTAAAAAAAACAAGTCAAAAATTACACCAGAGTTAGCAAGTAGGAATGTTAGATGTATCAGCCATCTGATTATGCTGTGACTGGTACTACCCTGTAGTTTTCACTCAGTAAATTCTCAGTGGTGCAGTAGAAAGAGTATGGTGTGTAGAATCATAAGACTTGTAGTCTGGGGTCAACTCCATTACTCACTTGGCCATGTGGTTTGGAACACATCACAAAAGATGTATGAGCCTTCGCTTCTTCACATGTAAGATCATGATTCTGCCATCTTCATGGAATTGTTAGACTTTAGAGGATTAAATAGGATACAATGAACTAGTTCCTGAACAAAATACTTGCCCCCAAAATGTTACTATTTTTTTCTACTTGTGTGATTGATTTTGCAATCAGCAGTTTAATAATATGCATTCAATAGGTTAATAATAGTCATTCAATTGACTCTTGCATATGTCTCATCAAAAGAAATTTGAATATTTTTTAAATCTTATTCCCATATCTTTGAGAATGGGATCATATTTTTATTATGATAATGAAGGAATAAAGTCAATTTCTGAATAGGCTAGTTGACTTTAATGACAAATACCCATTAATTAATTAATTAATTCATTCATTCATTTTCAACTCTTAAATCCATAATGGCCCCTTCACTAACTGGGGTTCTTATATTAATAAGATGGAGCAGATGCTTTTAGCACCTACAAACAAATCTTTGTAGGCAGAGCACTAAAGAGTACTGAATCGTTTTAAGAAGTCATATTGAAAATGACTTTGGACATGGAAAGACTGGGCTTATTCAAGCAAATTATATTTCAAAGTTTTACTTGCAAAGTTATTTATTACCATGTGGAATCCCACTCCTGTGGCTGGGGTCAAGAAAAATGGGGACACAGGTGTCTGCCTATTTGCACAGGCATTAAAAAGTATTGTAAAATGAGCTTCAGCCTTTTAAGTTACTGTCTTTTTCTTTATAATAATAATCTTTTCCATTTTACAAGGTCTATATTATTTTTAGGTAAGAAAACACTGTAGAGTTCATGTTTTGTTGTTCCTTGCAGTTATATAAATTATATTTGGCCAAAACAAATGTAATTCCTACTGTGTGAACTGGAAACCCAAAATGTTGATTTTCCTCAAGTTATAAACAATGTGAAGATATGTTATACTGGGTCACAATTTTCCAGAGCAGAGCAAAATATATAACTCAGTTTTAATAACAAAACTGCATATATCATTAAAGTTTCCTACTCCACATAGAATGTATTATATTACTCTGCCCAGCAAGAGACATCCTTTGTGTAGACCACAATTTCTAAAATACCATTTGATTGAATAGAAAACAGTTTAGCCATTTGTTAGTTTAAAAGAAAATGTAATGGTTAAATGCTCATGGACATTCTGCTTTGTCTTTGCTGGTGAATATTAAATTTCTTCTCACTAAGTTTAAATGTCACAGATTTTGTAAACAACAAGGTCTGGGGGAAAACCATTATGACCCTTTTCTGACTATTAGATGAATCTTTATATTTTTAGCAACTTAGAAGCAGATGTCCTCTCCTTTGCAGCACCAATAAACCTTATTTATACATGTACTATGTCAACTTCAAGCCTCATTGTAATTATTTACGCACAAGTCTGCCTCCCCAGATAGACTTGAAACTTAACAAGGCAAAATCCAGACTGCATTATGTTTCCATTCTTGGCCCCCGGTTCAATGCCTACCACAAAGTTGGAGCTCTAGAAATATTAAATAAGAGAATAAATGCTGAAAAATCATCACCAAGTCATTTATTTACCTACCTGCCTTTTCCTTTCAGAATAATTGTAAAATTCAGGAAATTTATAAATACTATCTTTACAATAGTAATAGGAATCAGGACATATTTCCTTTATTAAAAAAATCACAGATGGGATTATTAGCTAGTCTGTCCTCCTTATTTCACAGATGGATATTTGAAGGACTAGAAGAAGGAAGCTTCTTTACTCTTGCTGTCATAAAACTGATACCAGTTATGTTTATATGATATAAAAGTAGTACATGTTAATTCTAAACATTTTGACAAGTTCAAAGATACATAAAGGAGCCAACAAGCATATGAGAAGATAACTTCGAAAATTATTAAATGTAAATCAAAACCACAATGAGGTATTACCTCAAACTTATGAAGACAGCTTAATTGAAAGCAAAGCAGAAACCAGAAACTAACAAATGTTGGTGAGTATGTGGAGAAACTGGAACCCTTGTATGCTGTTAATGGGCTTGCAAAATGGTGCAACTGCTATGGAATAGTATGACAGTTCTTCCGACAATTAAAAATAGAATCACCACATGATCTAGCCATCTTACTTCTGGGTATGTATCCAATAGAATTGAAAGCAGGCCTTGAAGAGATATCTGCATGCCCTTGCTTATAGATGCAAATCCCAAATGTCCATCAAGGTATTAATGGACAAACAAAATAAGAACTGGAATCTTACCCAGCTCTAAAACAGAAAGGTAATCTGTCACATGCTACAACATGGATGAACCTTGAGAATATTATTTTTAGTAAAATGACCCAGTTATAAAAAAATCAAATACTATATGATATTATTTATATGAGCTATCTAAATTAGTCAAATTCATAGAGACAGAAAATAAAATAAACAAATAAGTCTCCCTACAGAGATTTATAATTGTTTACTTACAAAATAGAATGTAAAAATAGATGTCAGAATAAATTGCATAAATTGATAAATATTTGAGATCCTCATGAAGAAACTTAATTTTTTTATCTATCATGTTGGGCTGTAATATTTCTCTAGCTTCACACCTATTTTTAAATTCTGTTTTGTAAGTATACAATTATAAATCTCTGTAGGGAGACTTATTTATTTTTATTTACATTTTTATTTGATTTTCAACTAACAATGGTGTAGTCAATGATTTTGAGATTTAAGTGAAGACCTCATGAAATGTTCAGTAACATTTTCAGTACTATATCTTGGCAAGTCTTGCAGGAGTTTTGTATAGGACAGTCTAAGACCTACACATGAAGTCTGGAATAATTGGTGTATCAACATCGGTGTCTATCATAACAACAAAAACAAGGAAAAACAAAACCCTGTAGCTACAACTCTTTGAGTGTCTGCTTTCTGCCAAGCACTGAGCTGACTGATGTAACTCATTAGCTTAATTCACACAACAGCCTTATGAGGCACGTACTGTTATTATCACCATTTTTACAGAGAATTCAAGAAGCATAGATATGTTATATAATTTTCCTCAATCACTCAGCAGTTAGTTGAAAATGAGTTTTGACTTCAGTCCATCTATATTCAGAAATCTGGGGCTCTGTCACCACTAAGGTATGTTCCCTCTAAAAGTTACTAAGCTGTCTCAAAATCTTTACAAGGTTCGTATAAGGACTTACTAAAATTGCCTTTATGTTTCTAGATATTTTATTTTTTTCCATAATGTTTTGAATTTTTCAATGCTTTTACTGGTTTTGGATGGCTTTTTTGTCCTCATATTTTCTTTTTGATTACTTTTAGTATCCACACACTATTGAATTCTTACTAAAGTTAAGTAGTTACGGTTAATTTTCTTGAGTTTTCTAATTGCTATTTCTTCTGGAAATTGTATTCCTATTCGTGTTCAATATCTTATAGCCACAAGCTCTACAACCATTCAGTACTAAAGGGCAGAGCACGTATGTGTGTTTTGTTTCTAAATACAAGGGATATAATTTAGGTTTTCACAACTAGGCATAGTGAAGTTTCTCAGGTTAGTAAAGTATTACTCATCATGTTTTATGTATATTTTATATGTAAGATTTTCTCAATGAAAATAAAAATTTTATTGCATTTAAAATTATTTGGCATTTTATTTAGATACTAATACATGATTTTAACCCCCTCTTTGTCTTTCATAAAAAATAAAAGTGCATCTACATTTCTAGGGCAATTGTCACACTTTGATCAGTTTTAAGCAGTTTTCATGCATTTTCATACTTTATCATCACAAAAAGCCTATACCGTAGGCACTGACATATTTTCTTTTCCAATTAACAGATGAGAAAACTAAAGCAGAGTGGTTAGTGACCTGCACGAGGCCATATAATGAGTTAAAGGAAGACCTGAGATTTAAGTTCAAAATGATCTGCCTCTAGAGCCAATGTTCTTAATCACTCAGAGACACATGAGGACACCAGTGGAGAGAGGTTTTGAGAAGTCCTCCAGAACTAAAAACTGTAACAGGGAGACAGAGAAGGCCATTGTATACATACCTTTAAGAACCGGATGTAGCTTACCTCTAAAAGGAAAACAAAATAGTCTATTTAGTAAGAGTGCTCATTTCTTTGGAAATCATCTCAAGGTACATTTTTAAATGTCAAGGGTAAATTTCCTGTTCACCCATCCCCTTTTTAATGGTCAGTAAGTGAGGCATATAAAGGAAAAAAATCAATTGTTTGGCCTGCTGATCAGAACTGCAGAACTCTCCTCTGATATTTTGAAATCAGAAACTCTGAGTGACCACAAAGAATCACAGAGAAGGGAGGTTGCAGGCAAGGGGTGTCTAGGCAGAGAAATTGGGCTCACAGATATGAGCATTCTGGTGCCAGCTCAGAGACCAGAGAGACACATTCCATGAGATATTATTCAAGAGATTTATTACAAGCAGGAAGGAGCTTTATACTAGCGTCCCTATGTTCAGCCCTGTCTTTAGAATGCTCTGCCTTTTTTTGCAAAATATCAGAACTAGTTGCACAATACAGAAACAGTATATGTAATCAGATGAGCAGGGAATCTCAACTATGAGAAGGGAGAAGAAGGAAGCGGCATCCAGGAATCACCTAATGTATAAGGAAAACCACTAATGAGAAAGAGAATAACTGAAGAGCTAAGAGCAGAAAGGAATAAAGAATAAATACAAAAATATATATAAAAACAGAAGTATACCCTCCTCTTGAAATAGAAAAAAAGAAATGGAATTATACTAGAAGAAGTTTGTTCCTCCTGGTTAGTTCTCTGCATTAAAGCATTAAATCTGGCCATGTGCCTGGCCATTCCTTTTTTCGTTTTTCTCCTCTAAACATATTGAAGGCCAAACTGTATTTTGAGGACTGTGTTTAAGGCGCTAGGGAATGTTTAGAATGACTTTCATCATATGTGGTTAACATTTTTTGAAGTTTTGGCACTTAAATTCACAGGCTTTAGTTATTTGTAATATTGATCTGTAATAAATAGTCCATTGCTTAGTGATGGGAAATAAATGAGGCATCACTCCATTATACTTTTGTTGATTTGCACACTAATATGGGGAGTGTATTTTATTTAACAATGCAAAGACTGTACATGTTAAGTTTGTTTTGTTGCTATGCGTTCTGTTTAGTCCCAGGATATCTTGAACTGGAAAGAAGCCCTGTTGACAGACAGGATAACATAATTCTACCTTTTTGGTAAACTGTCTTGGGCCTTGGTGTCCCCCAGCTCAGATATCCATATATCAAGAGGTATGCGGGCCTCACACTGTTCATTCTGGTTTGACCTTAAGCCAAAAACTTTTACAGAAGCCTGAGTCCTGGGCCTTCTTCCTAAGCAACCACCACTGCCACAGAAGTAGCCAATCCCTGCTTATTACTGCAACTCATGTTGACAGGAAATGGGGTGCTGACCCTTCTCAAAAGAAAGGCAGTGAAAAACCATTCTCTGCAGGTGGAGTTTTCTGGCTCATGTAAGGATTGGAAATGAAATTAGCCATTGGAAATTTCATTCAGGTTAGTCCAAACATTGCAAAGCACAACAAATGCAAACCTTTCCACATTTGGTAATCAAGTTCAATTTCTCTCTACATTGTTCCTCTAAAGCAGACAGCTGTGAAACCTTTATTAATTGCCTTCGGTGTACCGAGTTGCTGCCAGAGTTTAGACACAAACCATCCAGAATGAGCTTTTACAGGGCTTGTGAGCTAGTCTTGGAGACCAGAGTCACCCATACAAACTGTTCAGTGAACAAGGCAGCCTATGACAGAGTGGTCAGCTATGTGGTTCAGACAATAGAGTTCAGAGCCAACAACAACTGCTAAGTGCATCGTAGAGCCAACTTCAAGAGAAATGGGAATATGACAAAATGGTGTAAATAAGATGCCTGATTTGGATATTTCAACCTCCACTGTTTCCTTTCTTCCAACTTCAATTTCCCTGTAACAGATCAAAACCACTTTGTAGTAGTAATCACTTTAAAATGAATTTTAAATTAATAGGCACCCACTCTAAAACAATGTTTTATTCTGGATGGACCCACCATCCATCCATCACCATGACCCACTCCAGCAAAATGAAGCATAATCCATCTCAGAGCTTTCTGCACATTGTTCCCCTGTTCAAACACATAAATGGCTTCCCACAGCCAACATCAATCAGCCTCTGCTTGGAGTTCCATAGTCTCCCCAGCAGGGCCCTACCTCCCCACAATTCACAGCACAGTGGCTTTTCCTTTAGGACCTCCACATCCCACCGTACTGACTCCCCCACTCTGTGACCTCATGTGATCATGCTAGTTTATAAAGTTGATGATATACCTGATTTGATTGTTTCCTATGTGCAGGCCTTGTTATGTCCAGTTGGATGACATTCTTCTCCAGTACAGTCCTATGCAATGTGATTGGAACTATTTTTACTTTCCCTACAAGAGGGCACATGGTAGATGTTCAATAAATCTCCAAGTTGTTAGCATTATGGTAATTGTGAATGCAGGCCTAGGACTAGGATGAGGCAAGTGAGGTGCTTAGGGTATAAAATTTAAGGTGGCACTCACTCTCAGCTGTGGACTCTGCACTTGTAGGACCCTGAGAGTGAGTGCCTCCTTAAACTGTGTCCCAGATGCATTGCTCCTCTCACCTTAGGAGTTGCCATGATTGGATGGTATCATGAAGCATGTTTGCAGGATCTGTCTTTCTACCATAGAAATAAATATTGACTTTGTTTCTCCCATAGCTATTCATAAACAAGATCAACATGTGTGTATGCATGTAAAGGGGCTAATCCTCCAGGATGACCCTCTACGATGATGGCAAAACATAAAAATAGTAGAGTTAAGATGCCACCTTCTTCCTCAACCTCAAAGAAGGTATGGCTTTGGTGAAAAGAATTTGGCTCTGAGTTAGATCTAATTGGCATCAAAGCCTAACTTCACTCTTCACTACCTACATAATCCCAACTGAACCTCTACAAACTATTTGGTAAAGCTATAGAATAATAGAATGAGGACACACACATACACACAAAATAAATAAATAAAAGGAGGAGAGGGGAAAGAAAAGCAGAAAATAATCATAGATTTTTTTATGAGGACTTATGAGAAAACACAAAGCCCTAAATAACACTTGGTTGTTACTACTTTTGTTGCTCATAATTTTGCTTTGCTGTTTTGAGTGCCTTCATAGCAACAGTTACTCAAGGATAGAATTCTATGCACGTATGTCTCTCAATGCACATAACAATTATAAGTTAATATACCCATACATAAATTGCCTACCTAAAAATGCTAGTGAGAGATAAAATAGAAATTCTAATCACTAAGGAAAATGAAATATTGAATGGGGCCACTTAGAAAGTGTCTTTGGATTCAGCGTTGTATGCAACAGGAACCATTTCTTTTATTGACCTTCAAATTGGGAGACATCAAAGTTCATGGCAGCATTGATACCATTAACAAAAACTGAAAACACAATAGCAGCAGAAGATATGGGGACAAAATGACACTTTCAGGCTTGAATTTCCAGTAGCACCCAAAGCAAACAGCGGTTTCTCTGGGAACAAAACAGCACTAAAACGAAATAGGTCATTTTCTAATCATTCATACCCAGGTGGTAAAATACATACTATCTATGCTATAATGTAAGACGCTCGTGTGCCTTCTGAAGCTGTTCCATTTAGATATCATGGTTATGTGTTTTGTGATGAGCTTGATAAATTCATAAAATAGTTGCCCAGTGAGACCATTTCTACCATCAGGCATGATATTTCCACGACTTCTTCTGGCAAGAGTAGACTGGCGTTGAATCAGTAAATATGTACATATGTAGATCGGAACCACAAATGATCTTACCTAAATTAATAAGGCAGTTGAGACTATGTAGACCTGTTTTTGAAAAATAATTCATAAGACCAAAATGGAAAAAAAACTGTAAAATACTTATTTTTGGCCACTGTATTAGGGTTATATGCAACCAGATCATTTCTGAGGACCTGGTGAACTATTAGCAACAACACTAGCATTTGGATATTAATGTTTTTACATAAGCAATTTGAAGAATAACTGATTTGTTGTTTCCAACATCACTGAAAAAATATATATTTTTTAGTCTTTTATTGCTTATTTTTTGCTTGAGTTGTTTAATTCTTTTGCTTGACTCTCCTGAGGTTTTATGTATGCCAAATTCTGAGGTAGTGACATTAAAGAGAGGTTTAAACCTTATTCTAAGGACAGTGGCCTTTACATATGAATTTAAAGAGAAAAGAAAGGAACCAATGAAATGATCTAATATTAATATCCCATTAATAATTAATATTTAGGACAAGTAAGTAAAGCCAAATGTTAACTGAAATGTCTCCCAGTTGGGTCAGAGTCTGAACATGCCCCTCCAGTGTAAACACTCTAGCCTTGTGCGCAGGAGTTACAGTGTGGGCCAAGGACCAGCTCACACAGGTTTCATTGCCCAATCAGCATGCAGTTAAAACAACTAAAATAACATGACATAGAGACACAAGACGCATTGAAAAACAAACTCCTACACACAGAGACACACACACACACACAACAAAGAAGAAAAACTTGATATTAAACAGTCCCAAGTTATCTTCTATTAACAACTCAATTCTATTGGTAGCCCACCACACTGATGGCTTGAAATCTTCCAGCTCTCATTTAAGAGTCTCGCGGAGTCTGATTTACTTCTCAATGGCCCATTCATCCTTTGAACGTTTACTCTGTAGCCTGTGCAGTTATAACCTAAGTTGGATTTCATACATGAAAACTGACCTCTGGCACCCAATATTTTTGCCAAGTCTCAGTGAAGGCTCTTGGAATAATTTAGAGTTTGCCTAATGACAAGTTTAAGATTCAATTATTAAGTGTAGTAATTTATTTTTACTATGTTTGTAAAATGGCTTTTGCCCAACTAATTTCACTCCCCTTCACAGCCAAAAGGCCTAAGATAGCAACGATGATCCTCAAGGCAACACACAACAGGGCAGTTCGCTCTTGGTTGTTTAATGCCACGTCAAACAGAAGGATTTCTACAGGACTCAGATGGAGACATTT